CCTACCAACAATTTTTGGATAAGTTGTGACTAAAAGGGTGTGGCTTTTTCATATTCTTATTTCAAATTAAAAAGATTGTAAATTAACTAAACGGATCCTTGGTAAATTAATTAACCCATGTCTGATTGAGCGGGGTCAAGTTCAATGAACACCAAAACGGGTAATTTAAACAAGGAATAGGTTATACAGTAACTATAAACTTTTTTTTTTTTACATTGAAGAATTAGTTGTTTAGTAACACTGTGATTCTAAATTAAAGTTATTAAATTAATAGGTACGAATTCAATCAAATTCTGAATGATATTGTAACTAACATTACTACTTAAACAAAAGATTAAAGAAAATTAATATGTCTTAATGACTAAAAGAGAGGAAAAACTCACTTATACATAAGTTTACCTACTACATTTGCTCAAAATCTTAATTATTTATCTCTTATACATAAATTTTACATGTTACATTTACACAAATTTTTAACTATTTATTTCTTTATTTTTAATAGTTGAAATTTATCACGACTTTTTAAATAAAAATAATAATAATTTTTAATTAATGTGAAAAAATCTTAACCTTTGATTTATTATTGTTCGAAAATCTTAATCATTGAAAGTGAAAAGGAGAATAATTAATCTTATATAAGTATGGTGTGTAAAATATTTGTGCAAGTGGATCTCTAGTTATTAGAAAAATATAGTTTTTTATACTAACTCTCTGGTATCTAAAATCACATTAAATTGACTAATTCAATATCTAGCCGGATTAGACCCCATAAAAAAAACACTGTCTCAATATATGTTTCTCCATTTATTTACAAGGTTCAAAGTTAAAATCTTACTAAGAAAAATCAATATTTTTTTATTCAGATCAACAAATCATGAGTTTACTCATTAAAATATTAAGAATGATAATAAAATGATTTAAATGTTTTAAATAAATCAATGCATAAAAAAATTTATAAATATTTAAATAATTTAATTTACTGTTGCTTTAATTTTCACTTTTCTCTAAACAAATATAATTCTTTCATGTGGAGGATGTTCATACCAACCTTTGTAAAAGCAGTAGAAGCAACCTCTTTTGAATTCTTCACGTGAAAGCAAGAGTAACAAGTAACAACTAAGAACACAAGAATTCCATATCGCATGTGCTAGAGGAGATTTAACTTTTAAGCTAGTTTCAACTTGATCCCTTGGAAAGATTTTCTTAAATATTCTTAATACATCAACACATAAAAAATTTGTAAGTATTTGAACAATTTTACTAACGTTTTGATGATTTTCACCTCTTTCTAAACCAATATATTACTTGCATGTGGAGGATGTTCTTACCAAGCTTTGTAAAAGCAACCTCTTTTGAATTCTTCATGTGAAAGCCCGCGTAACAACTAAGAACACAAGAATTCCATATCGCATGTGCTAGAAGAGATTTAACTTTTAAGCTAGTTTCAACTTTACCCCTTGGAAAGATATTCTTGTCTTAATTATGATTTATGAAGACAAATTTGGCGTTTTAGGCGCCTAATAAATTCCATCTACTCAAAAGAGCATCTATTGTCTTGTGCTACCTCTCAAATTAACTGGTGGCATAATTATGGAGAGGGATGAAGAGTGGTTTTGGTGTGTTCCAAACTTCCAATGGCTTTGTGGGCTGCTTGAAGCGTGAATCCACTGCTGTTTTGTCCCTTGTTCCCTTCACCATACGTGCAAGTCTCTCTTATTTTCTTGATTCGAGATTTAGATACGCTTGCAATTGTAAAGAAATCTAACCCTATGTTTTTTCTATATAGATTCAAACAATAATTAATGTACTTTTTAATTTAATATATTTCATAATATATTTATTAAAAAATTATATATTATTTCTATATTTGAATGCAAAACAAGAAAAATTTCACTTATAAAATTTAATGATTAAATTAGTGAATATTTATAGATGTATTGAATTAAAAGATATATTAATCATTACCTATATAAACTCATAAAATCGTGCATATATGAATATAAGTTGTTGGTCAATAAAAGTGTGCTCATGTAGGAATTATCGTTAAGTTCTTATTAACTTGATTGAACAAGATATTTTTCTGTAATCACTTTTTTTTTTATTTTGATTTTTTCATTTTTTTTAAGCAATTAGGGTGTTTTCGAATTAGTTTATATGCATTTTGAAATTAATTTTTTGTTGATTCAATTAAAGATAGACTATTCATGCCGAAATTAAAGAATTCAAGATAAATTATTTTTCTTATTAATCGTCCTTTTGATCTAGTAGTATGTAGAAATTGTTTTTTTTTTTTTTTTTGTAAGAGCTCAAAGGTATATTGCAACAATTTATCATTAATTTATATTAAACACAAATTTTATTTTCACATGAATTAATTTTAAAAATATGTAATGAATACACTTTTATCACATAAACCCTCAAAAAAAAAAAAACTAGTACACTCTGGTAATGGTTATGGCCATCATTATAACAAAAAATTGTTAAATTTTTATCTTAATTTAATTGTTAAAAACAATTGATAATTGATAAAGTAATTAATATTTATTATTTAATAAGTTAAAATCAATTTATAAATAAATATATCAAACTATTATAACTGTTAATTGTTTAAAAAATTATAAATTAATAAAATTACAGTTAAATTAATGACATTAACAAAAATTTTGATGGCAATAACTAGGCCCCTTAATTGTTGAGGAAAAAAAAAAAGATACACCTTTAACTTGTGTGTACAATATAGAAAAAATAATATACAAAATAGATAAAAGTTAATTTTGAATCAAATTTGTGACATGAAATTATTACTGGATCTATTTCCTTTTTGTTCAAAAAAATAAAAAAAGAACTGTTAGAAGGATGAACTGTTCAAGCATATAGCTGGATTCAGGGGACAGGTCCTGAAATTAAATTGGCCCACGTGAGATGGCTTGGCAACTGGCACTATGGCAGGTCCACTGATCGTATTACCGAAACAAATACTTGGGTTATCTGTAGAAAACGAAGTTGCAGTTCTGATTTGCATGAGCTTCGGCCCAGTGGATATCTGATTTGCATTTTCTGGAACACTCTCTAATATATCCAACAATTTTATCTCTTTTGTACAAATAAAACGAGACATTTCCTTAAAAATGTATATATATATAATGTGACTTTGTATATGTAGTGTTGCCCCTAATGAGAAAATAGTGAATGCATCATAACCTTTTCTTCTTTTTTATTGTGAAATTTTTTTTTAAATGAATTAAAATTTTATTATAAAATTGAGTATAGATGGTACTCTCCCATAAAAATGATTAAAAAAAAAAAAAAAGGAGAAAAAGTTAAGTCTCCTTAGAGCACAGCATTAGAAATTGACAGCAATCCCCAAAGGAAAATGCAACGGAGGTGGAGATTCCTTTAAACCATTCAAAAGTTTTTAATTGAACAAGGTCAACAAGGTTGTTTTCATCTCATGTCATGGATTTGAAAATCACGCCATTCCTAGAGTACCAGATGAGTCATGTAATTGCTAAGACAATAGGGATCCAACAGTTTCGTGCCTTTTTTATTGTGAAACTTGAAAAGTTAAATGTCAGTTATTATATCAAATAAAGCTTCTTTTTTTTTTTATAATCATGAAATGAAACAAGAGTAACAACATAGTTATATCAAAATTATATCATTTTAATCCCTTTGGTCACTCTTAATTAAAAATTAATGATCTGTTTAATAACATTATTATTGTTCATTTTTTGTTTTTTGTTGCAAAAATATTTGGCAACATCAAATAAAAACTAGAAAAATTAATAACTTTTAAAATTTTATTGTTGATTATCAATTCTAAATATTCGTACTTAAACAAGTTGTCGATTCTCATTTTTAATTTTTGTTTTGAATTTTTCATTTTAATCATTTAAATTTTGACAGAGAAGCACATGAAATGAATAACAAAAATGTTATTAAACAGACCTTAAACTATTAGTAAATAAGTACTATGCCATGTTGAGTACAACAAAGGAAAAAGAAAAATAAAAATAAAAAGCAAGTGCGAGGTTGTTCTAAATCTCAAATATATGGTATTGTAGGATCAGTTTTTTTTTTTTTTAACAAAAGAAATGATTAGATGTTAGGTTAATATTTACTTTTGATAAAGTTCGAACATTGATGTGGCCATTAATAGGTCACAACAAGGAAATGCATTGTAGAACCAGTTTAGTTAATGGTGAGTTGCTACTAAAGCAAAACTGTCCCACCCTAAGAAAAAAAGAAAAAAAAAAAAGAACAACTTCTTGAGGAAGGACTTCCCTTGCGACTTTGTCCTCTTCTTGTAAAGTTGTGGGTGGAAAAAAGAAAAGAAACGTATTTAAAGCTATTTGATTGATTAATTTAAGTGGTCCATGGAGGTTTGCTCAGTAATTTAGGGTTCGTGGGTAAACATTAGTTTTGGTTTTATTTCACAAGTCAAAATTTGAGGTTTTAATAAGACCGAAACTAAATTAAAACATATATGATTTTTAATTTGATTATTCAAATTTTTGGTTATTATGGATTCAATTTTGATTTTAATAAAAAGTTATCAAACATAAAATTATGATAAAAGTTGTAATGTATAAACATTGCCGATGGTGAGAAAAATGTAATTATATACATTAAAAAAAATATTTAGTTAGGTGTTTTATTTAAAAATTAAATATTTAAAATATAATTGATATAAAATAAAATTAATTGTAATAATGTAATATCAAAATAATTTTTGTTTATTTTTTATTATACACACTTAAATTAAATCCTATTAAAAACATGTACATAGGATTCTCTCTCATTATTCTCTTCTTAAATAGAGGAACTTTTATGTTGTTGCCTTCGATTGGAGGGCTTTTTCAAAAAAGAACTGAGTTCTCTCTTTTCTTTGTTTTTTTTTTTTTCGAAAATAGGTAATGGAGAGCTGAGTTCTCTCTTTTCTTTTTCTTTTCCTTTAAAAGTGGGTTCTGCCTTTTGGAGATGCTGACAATTGGAAATCTCAATCTTCAATTTTGATCTAACAGGTTGACATTTTTGTTTTTTTTTGTTTTTTTTGTTTTTTTTATTTAAATATTTTTTGTTTGAAGTAAGTTGAATATAATAATTTTAGTATAATTTTTTAAAAAAATTTTATTTAAATATATGTAT